ATGGTATGGCACAATCTATTCAGCTCTTGTTCACTGAGACCATAGACATGCCGTGAGTGAGTTGCTTTTCGGTTGGACTTCCGGGGTTAAGCCAAACTGTGCTAGGTATAGTCTGGTCACGTCCAGCTGACCATCAATTCAGAAGTTCATTTGTTCTGTCATACATATGAAACCCTACCTCATTGTTCGCGCTCGAACCCCCCTCGTGTTCGCACTTGGAACTTTGCCTTTTTTCCAACAAGCTACCAGGCTACCAAGAAAACAGTGGTACAGTAGGGAAGTCCGGCAACTGGTACATAGATTTTCACATCAGATGATACGGGATGACTTGTGCATTGGCCGACCGCTGGTGACACCTTTTGCACGTGCGAATTCTGGAACTTACTCTGATGATCTCTGATGGAACACACCTGGGAGTAATGGGGCTTGGCATGGCTTGGACACTCAGATGAACTCATGCTGAATGAACGCATCTTATCTATATTATTCTATATGCGTAAACGTGTGTCCATGTGTTTCTTTACTATGATATTAATATTTGATTATTTGCACTTCAAAGAAAACTTAACTTCCAGTATGTATGATCCACAGCATATGAATGCTTTAGGAGTGAATGTGCCCACTTTCATGGGTCAATGGTAAACAAGTGTTGCACTAGTCAAAAGATTAATGGGCTACAATCTTCCTTTGGACGTGGAACTATCAACCCAGAGATCCATATCTGCAATATGTTCAGGCCATACAGCGTCAGTCATTCGCCATCTCAATGGAGGTATCGTCAGTCATCGCTCCTCCGAATGTCCAGGATCTCCCATGTTCTTCGAGGTCTTGCTTCGCAAGTCCAACGGCGACTTGATTTGTTGTGCATCGCCGCGGCGCCAGTGTCAGATCATGTCAGATCTATTTCTGGATGCTCACAGAGATTTTGGGGGTTCATGAGGCAGGATGATCATCAATACAACATTGAACTGGTTCCCAAATGGGAGGTCTGCAAGGTCCCAAGTTGCCCATATGCAAGTATGTGCTTTCCTGAGGCTTACTATTGGAAGAGTGGTTGGGAGGCTATTTGTGCAAGAAGTGGAGTGATATTCCGAATACACCACACTTGAAAACCCTGGAAAATGAATTGCCATGGAAGCGGGCGATGTGGTAAAATGGTAAAATGCGGGTAAAAACAAACTGCCTCTTTGACTCTCTGACTTCAAGATTGCAGGGATCAAACAAAGCCTCGTGAGTGGCATTTTTCCCACATTCAGGAAGCAAGAATCCTATGATTGCCAAATATTGCCAAGAATCATCAAAATCATCAAAAATCCACCTATCAGCCCTGTCGGCCCTCACTTTGGAGCTGTGGAACAGTGCCCAACAGCGCGCTCAAAGCCTGAGTCTTTAGCAGGTCACAGCTGATGTCAGTGAGCTGATCATCAAATGCCCTAAGCCATACTAAGCTACAGTAAGCTATACTAAGTAAGCCATACTCAGCCCCCCAAAAAAGATATGAAAACCATGAATGACCCCAAAAATCCATAAAAAAAATCCCACAACCAACACCGCAACCAAGACCTTTTGCCTCCTCGTGCCATCCAGCAACCCAAGGTTGGCTTCTTGAAGTTTCAGGGTGGTCGCCACCAACTTCTGTCTTGAATCCTGGGAGATCGAAGAGCATGGTTTCGCCCGGTAGATGGAGCTGCCTGCAAACTGCCCGAAATGGCTAGTAGCGAAGTCACTGCAAGAGTATCTTAAGATCATATTTTTCACCATGTTCTTTCAATTTCTTGGGTTCAAGTTTCGATATCAACTATGTATTTATCATCTTATATCCCTGATTATCGATGGCTTTTTTTCCACAATGTTTTTTGATTGCATAAGATGAATCATAGGCCCCAACCTCTGCAAGGACACCATCCACAGACTCTGGATACACCTGCCGTGGTGTTGATGATGGTGCCTTGTTTATGTTCACCAAACGTTTCAATGGGTATCTGTTGGTACAACTGCTTGGTTGCCCAGGGTTCACCCTATCCCAGACATACTGTACGCATCAGGGAGAAACCCCATTTGAAATCTGGAAGGTTGAAAAACATTTGAAACTACTAGCCAGCTGACCAGTTTTTTACAAGTCAGAAATAGGATGCAGTAGCTGCGGGACATGATGCGATGTGAAAGGGCATTCTCTAGCAAAAAGATGCAGTTTCCAGCGTGGCAAACAGTTGGAAAAGGAGAACACTTTGCACAGCAGCTCCTGGCTGTCTTCCTGCAGTGTTTCGACTCAATCAGCCAGACTTGTCTGTGACATTGTTTCAAAAGTTGCCTAAAGAGATCCATTCAAAGCCTGTTGACAAGAAATTCAACCACCTCAAAAATCCATAAAAACCCATTCCAAGTGCTGAGTTTCCATGGCTTTTCCGTAGCGATCTACCCTTGATCCCTGATCGCCCTATGATCAGCAGACTCTGCAAGGTCCGGAGCAACTTTCCAATCTGTGGCGTCGAGTTTTAAACGCCAAAGGATAGAGATGTTGTAGGAACACACTTGGGGGTTTCCATAAATGGGGGTACCCCAAAATGGATGGTTTATTTGCTGGAAAATCCAATTAAAGTGGATGATTTAGGGGTAGCCCCATTTATGGAAACCCTCACTTCTCTGGAAGCTTCCAAGTATACTGGTGTGACAGTACCCATGCTGAATTTTGGGTCTCCTCAACATGAGTTGCGCCATCTATAGCACTGAAGAGACTGAAGAGAATGTTGTGACCCCAAAACACCGCTCGCGATAAAATGATTTACCTCTGTGCTGCCATTTCAAAAATTGGGGGAACTAAAATTGTGAGTCTTTACCACTAAAATGAAACAAACAACGGCAAGATAGCGCGATTTGAGTTGCATTACGGTATATTATCTACTCACAGATTTCTGAGTTTCGGTGGAACATTTATGACGCATCTCCCAAAACGATGCCATGCATCCTCAACATGGAGCACATTTTAAAAAATATCAAAAGTAAATCCAAGCGCTGCAATTTTAGGTGTCTATCTACCACATGTTTATCATGTTTATCATATATCGACAGAGTATGGAAATCATGTTTATCAGCATAGCTATTGGATGGTATCCCAAGAAATTCACATCAATTCACCCATCAATTCACCCATCATATACCCATCATATGGGGATGGGTCAAAACCAATAGTACCCCTTCTGTTCACATCAAGTCATAGCTGGGTTAAAATGGATGTGAACATCCCCCTAAAAATTGTATTTTCATAGGTATTGATCCATAGCCACTTGGTGTGTGACAAAGTTCCCTATGAATGTTTATACCCAATGGTTAATGATCATTATCCCTATTAAATGGCTATAATTGGGAATATACCCTATTTTCATATGGGGATTTCTTACCCGATCCTTTCATTACCCGCTGGGTCCACCTTTGTTGCTGACTCGGGCGACTCGTTGGACTCGTTCTGCGTGGCTGGGCCATGCTCCTTGCAGCAAGGGCCCCCGGTTGAAGGAGGTGAGTCGTTTGGAGCTGACATTACATCATGTTGGAATATTGATATGGGTATGGATCAATACCTATGAAAATACAATTTTTAGGGGATGAACATCCATTTACCAGCTATTTTGATGTTCACCAGGGGTACAAGGTTTTTACACACTGCCATATATACTATATAGATTCTAAAAAATAGATAAATATATTAATTTACTATATATTGATTTATTTCATGTTACTAAAGGCAATGTCCTAAACCACCCATATGTTGATGATTGATGGTCGGAATCCCACTACAAATGGTCAATTTGGAGCTGGTTTTCTATTGCTTTACTAAGATCCTTCAACAATGGGGAAGGTCTCGGCGGGATGGCTGGGAAACCTTGTGCGGTTTCGAAGGGTTACCAAAGGGTTTCGCTAGGCATTGAACTAACATAACTATAGAAAATCACCATTTTCAATTGGAAAATCCACTATGAATGGTCATTTTCAATAGCTATGTTAAATTACCAGAGGGTATCTAAAACTGAAACTCCAAACTACACCTGGCATGTGTTGAGCAAATTCACGGTCGGTGTTCTTTCGAGCTATTGACGTCTGAAACCAAATTTGTGAACACTTGTGAACCGAGCAATTAACCATCGACCCACCCACGTTCCATGCAACCAATGGAAGAAAATCCTCTTGCGAATTTGATCGGTTTGGCGTTCGCAGCACACGCAGGATCTGCAATAAGCGAATGATCCGGAAGAGAGTGGCATTCCTGTCCCATGCTGAGGTTGGGAGATCGTTATCAAATTACCAAGGTGTATCAATCAATAAAAAGGTCCCCAAGCATTGTGGCGAAAAGTGATCCGAAACGGTGCCCCAAGTGCTTTCGGTCATATGGCCTGTTTAGTCTTGTGTTTCATCATGCATCCAACTCTTGGTACGAGTACCCAATCGACCCACTCTGTGGTGCTGATATGCTGATAACCCCGTGATACCAGCTGCGGAACAAGCGTAAAACCATTGAAACCACTGCTCACGCCATGTTGTCATGCCCTAACACTCATAACAGTTCAATACATTTCATCGCTATGGGCGTGTAAACTTCTGTATGTCACAACGCCAAACAAAACCATCCAAGCTGCTTTTTTTGACAGCTGCGCCTCTAAACGATACCAACGGCCTAAACTCTCCTTCAAATGGCTGGCCACAAAAACGTTTGGACCATGTGAATCCAGTGAACGAACCATCAAGATACGCATCAAGCACAAAACTTATCAATACTCAGATCATGAAGTCACATATATAAGATATCATAAGATTGTATCTACTGTATCGAATCAAATCTTTCCAGCTGTCATAACCATCAGGAAGAACTAACAGTAACTAACATCGAGTAAGGATGTTTCAATCAGCATGGCCGGGCGGAGTGGTAATGGCCAGCTGCGCAGTGTTGAAACCTTCTTTCATTCCATTATGTATGCTGGTTAGTTATACAATCGGGATCCCCATGGGCTGTCAAATTGTGACAATCACCAAATCCCCCAAATCCCCCACTGCTCAGCTTACTTACAGCACTCGCAGTGTGCCGGAAAGGGTTGCGCCGGCTGCAGCTTCTGCAGCCCTGGACGCAGCAGACGTGCCAACTGCTGCACTGGAGGAGGCTTGGAAGCAGACTCTGGGACGTCGCGCACGTAGCAAACCTTTCCAAAGTCGTTCACCTGCAGGGGTGGGATATCCACAAATGGTACGGAAATCGTGGTTTACAAGATTTGATAAGGCACTTAGAACTGGTGAATTTCCATGATATCCCACATTTAAATAGTTGGATTATCAGCTAGCATGGTTACCAAATTAATACATTGACCGACCTCATTGGTTCCCAGCTATCGATCTTCGGCTTATGTACGATGATCACAGAATCCCACTGGTCAGAAGCCACACTGGAGATCTTTGGAGCAAGGCCACACCTGATAGTAGGTGATGCCTCGAATCCCCCGGGGTTGCCCTGCAATTTCGATGGTGTAGGTAAAGCCCACTGCTTGGTCGCCATCTGATACCTCCTCCAAGTTGAAAGTCACGCCCTGGATGTTCTGAAAACCTCGCTGTCGGGCTGGTTGAATCACCGGGATGGCGATTGTGGGAAAAACCATCAGAAAAAAATAGGCTGGGGCAGCAATCTTAGTATTTTTCATAATTCACGAGGTTTGACACTCCTCCATGGCCGTACTAACCAGGTCTGCCAAGACACGCTTCAGGAAACCTTCCACGGCACTTTGTCCGATGAAGGGAGTTTCATAGTTCATGTCTTCATAGATCACATCGTCAGCATAGAAGCGCGCAGCGTCACCACCAGCCTTCTGCACATCGCCATAGAGGTACTTGACCTGATGGTGTCACGATTGTTCACCGTGACTCAGCAAAACTATTGATATCAGCAGTCCATCAAACTGGAACACAATGGCATGAGATACTACAGTGATCATTAATATATCATTAATATGGGTAGCATGTGGCACTGGTAAATACCAAATTATCAATAATCACTGGTATAACTGACCATAATATATTGATAATTTGATAGAATATTATAGTATCAGGATGAAATATTGATATATTATCTTCATAGATAGAATACGTTATGGTCATATATTGAATGATATACAATAGATGACCATGATTATCAGATTATAGTATCACGTGCATTCTATGACCATAATCCATAACCGTTGTGATCGCATCCAGTTGATCGCACAGGATCTGATGGGCCCTGAGGATTCCCAATCACATCACATCATCTCCAACCAAAATGCCGATAGTATCAGGGCAACAAAAACGCGTAAATCCTATTAGTAATAGGATGTAATAGGGAAACATCATACAATATCATACCATCAATTAAATAATTATATATATATATATCACATCAAAAAAACGTATCACATTAGGGCAAAATAGGCCTTGACCGAAGCATCTTCATCGAGGCACAATGGCCCCAGCTGTGCGTGGTGTCTGTGGCGGGCCAGTGGCAGGTCTTTCAGGGATCGGCTGATCCTGCAGGAGTTGAGCCTTGCTGTAATCATTGGGATATAAATGATATCTGGTTGGTGGTTTCAACCCCTCTGAAAAATATTACCATCTGGTTATTTAACATAGCCATGGAAAATCCCTGATAAATGGATGGTTTAATGGGAAAATCATCTATAAATGGACCATTTTCCATGGCTATGTTAAATAACCAGAGGGTAGTCAGTTGGGATGATTCTTCCCAACTGAATGGAAAAATAAAAAATGTTCCAAACCACCAATCAGATATAATGAGGATATGATGATTGTGATATAATTGGGATATAAATGATATGACTTATAACAGGAATTGTGATATAATTGGGATATAAATGAACTAATCATTGGAATATAACAGGAATTGGGATATAATTGTGCTATAATAACCAGAAATTAGGGATATCATGGGAATATAATGTGATAATGTTATATAATGGGGATGCCTTTTTTTCTACGGAAAATCACCCTTTGTTTTTCAGTACGTCACCCTTTTTGGGGTCAATACCGGTTCACCTTAAAGTGTGAGGTGCCCGGTGTCATGGCATCTTTTGTCGTCGGGATCCATATTTATCTTATGCAAATTAATTATAGAATCATATATGAACATGTGTGATGTTACATATATGATTATATATATAATTAATAATTACATATATAATTGCATATATCATATATACACACTATGTATTTGGGAGGGGCCCAGCCACCGGCAGTCTTTGGTCAAGGCTTCCAGTAGCTTTTCAGTCAGCTCCCCAGCTTTAAACCTCAACAGCTGATCCCAGCTGACCCCGCCAGCTGCCCCTGAACGACACATGGGGAAAAATGTAGTTCGAATTGCCGTGGAAATGGCAGTCGAACCATTTCTTCGCATTTTTTGGAGTTGATGAACTATGTATATAATTGAATACTTTTGAAGGTGACCCAAGGATAGCATCATAGTCATGATATAAACTTTCATCTTCTTTCAAGATCTGAGGATGTCTTGAGGTGTCTTCCAAGGCCAGGCTGCAAAGGCTCACCCAAATCTCGAACGTACACCACTTCACCAGCAGAATTCAGGCGTACGTAGCCGATGCCACGCTGCCCGATGCCAACCCCTTTCTCCTCAATGTGCCATGTGAAGCCACAGGACTTCTGCCCATCAGAGATGTCGTCGATGATCAACTGAGAGTTGGAAGGCAGCAGCTTCTGCCCAATCAACTTCAGCACCTCATCCTTCCCCTTGGCAGCATCTTGATAGTACAAATCTTCATAGACGCAGTCTGCTGCCAGCAGCTGCTTCCATTGACTCAAATCTTCTCCAGTACGCAAGCCTTTCCCCCAGAGTTCCCTCACCACTTCCGGTGCTTTCAACGCTTTGGCTTCAGCCACCTTTGGGCCAAGCAACGGCACCACCGGCCCCAGAAGCACCTCGCGGCGCCGGCACCAGCTGCTGTTCCCTATGGCCGCCACAGCAGCCAAGACAACCAATGGCCGGTGCGGCGAAGGCGCCGAAGGCGCCAAAGGCGAGACTGGAAGGGGGCGAGGTTGGACTTGGGTGAGATGCAGAGCACATGGATGGCAGGCAGGAAACTTTGCCTGCTGCGCCATGGCTGTTTTTCATGACATGGCTGCGGTGAATGAACTCTTTTTTGGGACCCAAGTTGGTGAGCGAAAGTGGCAACCACAGGCTTCACAAGCTGGAACAGCTCAGAAGATCGCATGCCATCAATTCATCTTGGGTTTTTATCTGCTTTAGGAAATCTGTGCATCAAGAACATTAGAAAACTATACCAGCAACGAACAAACTGTAAACTGCAAACTCTTTTTACAGCTCTCAATCCTTTTACTGTCAAAAAGCTTGGTCCTGGGAGGCTAAGGCGCTGTTTCAATCTGCTAAGGATATCTAAGGATCCCCTGAAAATGAGAAGCACAAGCACCGAACAAGGCCTGGCCAGGATGTCTGTAGATCCAGCGAAGAAGTGCAACAAAAGGCTTAAGACGCCCATTGCAACCAAGAGGAAATCAAAGATATTCCAAGCCTAGGTTTTAGCTATGCGCAAGCATAGATGCAGCAAAGTCATGAATCCAAGAACCCCCAATCCATTTCATCCATTTCACACTACAATCCACATAATCCACTGGAAAAGTGGAATCCAAACTACTAGCTTAAAGCTGCCCGTCAGCCCCACTTAAGCAATGATATTGTGAGCTGAATTGTACCTATTAGACATCAGTTCCAAATCTGCAACATCGCGACAAGCCGGCCCAGCTTGGGCACAAGTTGCGGCTGGGCCCTGTTCCAAGTCCCCGGTCTAAGTTGATTCCTGTCCTGACAGTGGCACAATATGACACAATACATTCTCAAAGTTTAGATCTACACATTCACCATTGAATCACCATTGAATCTCCCCCAAATTGTGCGATGACCAGCGAAGTTCACCGTATATAGCCCAGGGACGATGCCCGGGTCGTTGTGGAATAAGAAGAACTTCCGAAAGCCCAGGCAATACATCCGAATCACCTGCCATCGTCTGGTCAACTTCCTGCTAAGTCCCACCATGGAATGCGAGTCCATTGTAGTAGGGGCTGATGCCGATCGTTTTTCAAATACCAGAAGGATGAAGGATATCACACTTGGTCACTCAGAAGTTCACCACCTCCACTTTCAATCGCCATGTTGTCAAATTCCGTTGCAGTTTCAGGTCCCAGCTACACCCCCAATGTGTCATAGATGAATGATTCATCCAGATGTTCCTTCAAAAAAAACATCCAAGAAAAAAAGGCATCAGCCAGCCAGCCATCCCCTTTCCCCATGTCTTGCGAAGGCACCAGCTCCACAGTAAGACATACCAAGAACATATTCTCGACCACATCCCAGTGAAACTTCTCTGGAAAATCTGTCTCCAACCCGATCAGCACCGCGTTCAGCATGATGAGGCCTCTAGACTCTAGCGTTGGCATACAGCTCTAACGTTGTCTGGGGTTGGTTTGACAACGATGATGTTTGATGATTGATGGTGGATGTTGTCCGAAACAGGATCACAGTGGATTACTAGCAAGCACTAATAAACAATAATCAAAATATATCTCGGGATTTCCAAGATTCAGTGACAGTCACGATGGTCACTGAAGCATGACATCACGTCCCAAAGCTGATCCATTTCACCCATGGAACCAGAAATGATGCAACTTGATCCAGCATCACCAGTTCCAAAAAATAACTGCCAGAATCAATGATGAATCATGACAATGATTCCATGGCAATAGCTATGTTCTCATGCATTTTCATTGCTCGCTAATCCTTACTTGTTGCCATGATAACATCTATTGATATCATTATGTATATATATATATTAGTGCAATACATTCATGTGTATTAAGGTGATTAATCACGAGGACACGTACATACGAACACATACCTTCCAACAAAGCCAAGGAATTCCGGTCCTTCAGCCGCCCTTACAGACTTGGGCAAATTAGGCACCACAATGCACCACATATATCCACAGCCCCAATGGCCAAGACTCAAATGGTAACTGTTTGCATTGGACCACTTTCCAGGAAATCCTGACGCGCTGAGTTCCGAGACTTTGAACAGCCTTAAAAACCTTGCGAAGGACCAAAGCGCCACCAATTCTTTCAGCACCTTTCATGTTACACAGATTCTCTCCTTGGCATCACAAACATATCACAACCATGTGACTGTCACAAAAACCTAACGAGAAATAAGGCCGAAAAGGCTGTCGCCATGGTCCTGGTCGATGTCCCATCGGCCGCGTTAGGGTGGGCTTGGCGGCGCCGGCATCGTCGCTGGGAATCCGAACGTAGGAACCGGAGCCTCGGACGGGATGAAGACAATGAAGATGTCGTTTTTAATGCACTGATTAACATTGATTATTACATATCAATACATATTAATGCTATTTAGTAATCTTAATACTGATCAATTTAATGATTGCAAAATATTGCCATTCTCATCATGATGACTGTGTCATTATACGTAATGTCAACACAATTGAATTCACAATTGAATTCACAATTGTATACAATATTGTAACAACATCATGATGATTATATCTGAGGGTTTATGAGGGTTTGATATGAGTGAATGTTGTGATTGGTTGCATAGGTATTTAGAAGTACTGTTTTTCGTCCATTATTACCATGACTATAAACGGTAGTTGTGTTAAATTGTCAAATGTTGTCACCATGTTCGTACTATCACGATGAGGGAGGAACAACAAGGCCTCTTGACCCTCCCAATTCACCAAGGCACGAAGTGAAAACATGTCACTTGGCAACCATGACTTCACCATGAGCAAAGAGGGTTCACATGGCGCGGTGTGTGAAGAAAGGCTTCACTCCTGAAAAACGGGCTGTTCTCTACATGTTGCGCCGGAATCAGCGCTATCCAACTTCAGTTTTAGTTTTCTACATTCGAAGCTATAGAAAGAAGATGAAAGAAGCGTGGTTGGGTAATGTTTGCTGTTTTTCATGGCTCGATGTTCGATACCCACCTCTTGTGGCGCCCTCAATACTTGAAGATCAACTGTCAATCACACACACGCATATGTATGTATGTATGTATATATATATATATGTATAATATATATATATATATGTATATCATATATGTAAATATATATGTATCATATATATATATATTATATATATTATATATATATATGTATCAAATATATATATTATATTATATTATATATATATATGTGTTATATCATATACTGAGCCCGCAAGCTTTGAGATCTTTCAGATGGAAGATGGAGATGGACTGAAGACACGCCCAAAAGCTCCATTCAGGGTCCATTCATCAAATCATCACAAATTAAACTGGCTAAAACCAGCTGCACCACTCATCGCTAGAATCCTGGCGCCTTGGGTGGTCCTTCGGCCTGATGTGGCTGTGGCAACCCATCTGCCCAATCCTATCCTGGCCAATCCTATTCAATCAACTCTTACCCGTATGCAGATACATGTTATACAATGTCATACATTATGTACCATCTGGTTATTTAACATAGCCATGGAAAATCTCCATTTGTAATAGGTAAACCATCTAGAAATGGGTCATTTTCCATGGCTATGTTAAATAACCAGAGGGTACATATTTTCTTGGTATGATTTTGGTTGATTTTGTAACATAGATGCACTCGTTGGCTCCATCCCCATCAAAAGTACAGACCTTGAGACGCTGCATCCAGGCTGAGACACCGACAACAGCCAGGGCGGTGAAGAGTTCTCGCGCCTTGGCCAATGCCATGGGATGATTGGACAAACCCCTCAGTGAAATTGTCAATTGAAAGGGAAAATATGGGAACATTATATATATATATATGCATATATGCATGTATATATCTTTATATTTATTTATGATTTATTTATTTGTTTGTTTATTTATTAAAACATATCATAAAATAACATAAATATTCATGTACCATATAATACCATGATAAACCATTGGATCCAAATCACCTTTAGCAAAGTCTTGTTTTGGGGATGATGTCACACCACCTTCCCATGTAAAAAAATGATATGGGCCACATCTAAAACCTGGGTACCATGATGAACACCCACATAGCCGGTAGTTATGTAATCTGGGTAAATTATAATATTTCACTAACCTGAATTGTTGGGCCATTTTGGGATGATTCCCCTTACTAACCATGATTATGTTGAGGTCGCAGGGTTCGGTCGTTATAATTTACCCAGATGTAATAATTATGCATGTTCACATTGCCTGAGACCCAACAAAAACTGCTGCCGCCCCGGACCGCTTCCGGAGAAAGTTGGGACGACCTCAAAACAAACGCCCTGAAACCTGCAGTATCTATGGAGATCTGGGATGGTCAAAGATGTCTTTCAACTACCCTCTGGTTATGTCAAAATAGCTATTGAAAATGACCATAGAAATAGTGGATTTTCCCATTGAAAATGGTGACTTTCCATTGCTATGTTAGTTTACCAGAGGGTATCAACTCCTGAAATTCCGTGGTTTCGTGCATGATTTAAGGCCAAGCAGCGGGTCGCTGGGCTGACCCTCCATGGCGCAATGTTTGAGGACAAATCGAAAAGGGTGAAATCTTGCCACCCCTGCAGCTGATAGATTCAGATTGACATCCATGATGCTAGGCTCTTTTCAGTGATTTCAATAAATGATTGATGGAAAAATCTGAGTAGACATGCCATTCTAGTCCATTCTATTTGCCGAAGATATCTCGCTGGGCCGGGTCTGTGAAGAATTGCAGCATGCTTCGCTGTGTCGGCCGGATCCTTTCTTCCCCACAGGTCCGGCTGCAGAGTGGTTGCGGCGACAAATACGGTGCCATACACCATACACCATGTCAAATGGACGTTGTAACTATCAAGAATCGTCCATTCTAGAAGGTGAAACAATTCATCGAAACAGGGTTGCACCTCTACAACTGAGGCTGCTGTGGTCAGAGAGCACAAGCAATGCTGGTTTGCTACATGTCCAGTGCTGCAAGAACCACGGATGTGGAAAACTCTGCCGTATTTCACCGCGTGCTACAATAATCCCCAATAGATGTAATTACATACAATTAATTAATTAATTACCAAAAACAGCAAGCTGAAATTATAAATAT